CGGGTGTCCCTCTCCGAGGAGATCCCCAGGGCAATCTCCAAATGACAAAGGGAATCTAGAAGTCTAAGGTCAAAACCCATCTCTCTTTTCAGTGCACTATCAACTTCAGGTCGAGGGATTCTGACGGCCTCTCGTGTCCTTTACCCTTGAGAAGCCCTGACTCAGATGTACACGCTGAAATTTGCGCGTTTCATGGTGCTACTCCCTCTTCTGACAGGCTTTATGTTGGTTTTTCCTGATTAACCACGCTCACAAAAGACCAGCTGGGAAGTATAAATTAGACAATGTTATCAGCTCCTTGTGGGTAATGAAACCCAGCCAGGATGTTAGCAAAGAGAAGTAAGAATCCCCAGGAGACAGAGAAACACTTTATTGCCTCCAGAGCCCATGCTGATTCATCCCTAATGGACAGGAGCCTGAGTTAGACAAACCAGGAACACAACGATGGGAATACAAAAACAGATCCATAGGTTTGCAGCGTGGATTCTGCACCAACCGGTGACGTAAGATGGGATAGAAAATGCCTGCTAAATTGCCCAACGGTAACTTCAAGGCATGGGGGATCCCAACACCCTCCCCAGAGCTCCTCGTTGTGCCGGGGAAGGTACAGGCGGCCCGTGACCACGTCTGCCCACTGTTCAGGAACTCCGCTCCGAAAATCACAGCGCAGAGCTCTGCTTTTACCAGCTCCTGCCTGGGGAGTTCCTGCAGAGTCAGGGGTGCAGCTTGTAGCTCTCCCAGTCCCTGGAGTAACTTGAAATATCTCTTTCTGATTTTTTACCCTGTGTACTGGATGTTTAAACGCCATGGCTCGGTTGCTGAGTAGTTGAGAAGACATGCAGAATATAGACATCTTTGCTGTGGCCTTTTTCCCAGTTTTAGTCCGGCCAAAACACTTATTTTCACATTTAGCAGAATGGCCGAGACCTTTTAGCATTTATTTATATGTGGCCCTGAAAGTGTTGGGCCCAGATCCAAGAAGGTACTTAGGATCTTCCTTGATTTCAGTGGGATATAGATTCTTTATATATTTATAAACGGTGCTTTCATTCTCTTTTTAGGTGATCCTGAAATTGCTGATATGTTCACAGCTGCGTATGTCCTGAAGTCCATCTCATACTCTCCTCGAAGGGGTTGGTAACTGATGACAGGTATTTCTGAGGTTCTTAGGAGGTTTCTGGCCACCCGCCCTCAGTGTCACGCTGTGCCTAGACCCCCAGCACACAGTAAAGTGTCTGCTTCTGGGGCATTTCTTGCACGTAAAGAACCTTGTGGTACAAAACCCACAACAGTAATGTAACTGTCCTGAGTGTTGTTTTCTGTGCCAGCTATAATTCTTCAATTTGCTTCTAGCTGGCGCAGCCTTCTCTGGGTCCCCTTGTGCTGTTTCTGGTCTGATGGGTCTTGTTTCTGTGAATTTGGGGACGTTCTATTTCTCTTTATGAGTTTCCATCGTGGCATTCCCTCAAAATCACTTCTGCAAAGTGCTTGTTGTTTCTTTCCACCCGTTTTTTACAGGGGCTGAGAGGCCTATTTTAGTGGCTGCCTTTGGAAGCCTGTGCTCAGGGCTGTCCTTCATATGAGGTCAGGATAATTTGGGAGTCTTCCCTGGCATTTATTTGATTGCCTGACCGACCTCAATAAGCCTATTTCAGGTACGTTCATCTCTCCAAATCCACAGCTCTTATGAAACTGCACGGTATTTCACCCTTCTCATTTAAATAAATGAAATCCTGTCTGCTCAAAGAATACATTGCATCATGGCATGAAATATTGATTTCATCCATATTGAACGTTTTAATTAGGACACCTGGGAGGTTTCCAGAAAGATCCTCTGATGAGGGTCTTACTTACAGAAGAAGCATGACTTCTTCTGTATGTTCTTCATGAGTTCTTCTCTCTTTCCTGATCTGCACTAAAACCACATAAGGTGTCTTACTCTGATATAGGGATTTAACAACAATCTGAACAGTATTTAGAATAAATTGGGGTCTTCTAGACGTCAAAGTTTTAGCAGATCACAGAGTTCTCTTTTAAAATCATTTTTATGGTGAAAAAAAAAGGCATAGCCTTAAAGAAAGCCAACTGTGTTACTGTGGATCAGTCCTTAACCTCACTGACCTTTATTTTTCTGTCTTTACTTCATCTCACAGCTGATTGCTTTATGACTTGTCATTTTAGGCCATTTCTCTTCGTGCTTTGCTGCTAGCTCTGTGAGGTTTTTCTTGCAGTGTGTCACTGCTTCTTTTCTTCTTTTCATTTCTGTCTTCTCTTTTATTTCTTCTTCCATTTCTGCAAAAGCTTTTGATTTTGATTCTGGTTACTTGTACTCCTGCCACTGTGTAGAGGTTGCAGAGATCATGGATGTTGAGTGAGCCAGAAATTTCTTATTCTTGTACAGACTCATTAAACAGCTGGTGGCCACTATGAACACAGGATTTTTAAAAAATTTTCCAATATCTTTTGATTTCCTAATCCAGGTTTTGGATCAATGGATCATAGTCAGGCCTCAGCATGCTGCACAGATTGCTGTTATTATGAAACTTTTATCTCCCAGGTCCATGCATTTCATCACTTGTTTTAATTTCAGAGGCTGACTCCAGGTGAGTTACCTCAGAGACCACAATGAGGTAGTGCCATCATTATCATTACTGGTAGTGCCATCACCATCATTATTACTGTTAATCGGTTCCGAAGCATCTTTTGAAGGCCCCCTAATCTAATTTAAAGCAGCAAACATGAATTTTTAACCTATTACTACTAATAGTAGGTATAAAGCAAGTCTTTAAGGAAATGGTCAATTCCAGTTAACCTTATTCAGGCTATTTTCCTCCAGCTATCCTAATCTAGTCTCCAAACTGTTTTCAGTAGTCACTCCAGTCCTTTTACTGCCCATTTTCTCGTTAAAGGCTTATTTCCTTTTTGTTTTTTTTTTTTTCTTTCATCCCATTTTTCTAAAGTCACTTTTGAGGGAAGGAAAAACCAGTTTGGGTAAGGCCAAACCGGAACGAGGGCAGGGAACATGGAAGCATAACCCGCTCCAAGTAAGGGTGCAATAGTAAAACCGCTGTTAATAAATGAGCTCTGTCAAGCTTTCCTATCAAAAAATTCCCAGAACATCCCTTCCTCTTTGAACCGTAAGTGGGTCAGTCCGTTCTGAACTACGCCTGTTTCAGCTCAGTGAGAGGATTTTTGCGTCCCTTCTCAGGTGATTTGGCTGCGCATTTTAATTTTAGATGCACAGGTTGCTCTGAGGTGAGGGAAAGCTGCTGATTTTTTTATCTTAAAACGGGTAACACGGCACGGCCGGAGCGTCACGCCGGGGCCGCCT